TTTCTATACTTTTTGGTTTGTTTTAAGAATATGATCAATAATAGCATCTGTTAATATTGTTGGCCATAAAGCTATATCATTTATTACTTCCATGTATCTATATATATCGAAGCGGTTTTTTTTGGATTATTTCTATCTTCTGCGTTTTCGCAATTCCTTTTTTCAGTAGCATTTTAAAAGGCTGTGGGAGCCTCTTCGGGGCCCTACGCGCCCGCATAGTTTGCTTACTGCTTAATCCGCCGTTCAGGTATACACCACATATGCGTACCACTATTTATAGTAGTACGCATATGTGGTGTATACCTGAACAGCAAAAATTGATGTCAGAATTTCTGCACGCTTTTTACAACCTCGAGACTAAGATTTTATTCGGGAGTTACCATTTTCAATTTAATAATTTTAAAAAAATCCTCGGGAAGATGATTTATTTTTGTTACAAAATGTTGCCTTTACAGATTTCTAGCTCTGCACACTGTAGAAAAAATCTAGAAATACAGTTTTATATATCGTAATAATATTAGTAGTTGCCAGAAAGCTCTATAAAGTAGAGAAAAATTTGTAAATTTGAAAACTATAAACATAAATTTAAATTTCTCAAAAAATAAATTAAAAAATATCAAAAGTCGCTACTTTTGGCTGATTTGTCTGAGATCTCTGCTACCTCACTACGTCCCTCTAAAAGTCGCCACAGTTGGGAACACTGATGAGCAGACATCTAGGGTCTAAGTAAGGCGAAATGTAATCGCCAAACCGCGCTGTAAAAAAAAATTTTAATATAAAAATATAATTTCTTGTGAACAGCAGTTTGGGGCCCCCTTCCAAGTGGGCCTGTGCGGGTGCACCTGTTGCACCTGCCTAGTTACGGCTCTGGCCTTGTGCATAAAACGTTTACCGATCAGTAAGTTGCGGTGTCGTTGATTGACGTTAATTACCAATCATTTCGAATGCATAATATTTTTACTGATTACCTGATGTTAATTATAAGGTAAGACATTGGTAAGGTTGCTGATACCATGTTGTGGTTAAAAATGGTGCAGACAATATGGTGGAATGTCCATACGATAAAAATTCTCCGTTCGTTCTTCGCGCTTATCTACATAACTAAATGATAACTAAGATGTTCATTATAATATCCTAAACATAGATTCAAATAAGATAATTTTACTATTTGTTGTTCAATAATAAAATTTTAAATAATTATAAACATTTATAAAATTTCAAAAATTTCATAAATAACTTTGTTTTTTATTGCAAGTGGCGGTAAAAATTCGATTTACTTTTAGATGCTTTATGTTTAGATGTAAATCTTTTAGCAATTTTATGTTGAACTGAATTTAACAACTTAAGTTCAACATAAGATTTTAATCATCCTTTTTTTAAAAGTTTTCTAACTTAGTAATTTATTGTTTATACTGAACTGTTAACCTCTTTAGAGATGTTCGGGTATTATCTGATAAGATAGTCTTAAAATAAACTATAAACAAATGCACAAACGAAAGTAAAAATTATAGCATCAGCACAATATGAGAAGAATTTTTAGTCTATATATCTTTTTAATAATCAATGTAATTATAATAGAAAAGAAAGTAATAAAAGAAAAAGTAGTAAGTAAAACTTTTTACTTTGTAGATAAACAGATTCATATTAGAATATTAGCAATTAATAAAGTAAAATTTAAGATAAATGGCATAAAAAAATAATTTAGTTTTAATAATATTATATTAAATTTAAAAGTTGGTGATATTAATAATTGCAATTCATTATCAAAATAATGAAATTTAAAAAATCAAAGAGAATGTATTAGGATGTTAGCATGAAACTTTTTACGATAATGACAGCGAGTTTGGTTTAATCATCGCTGCAAACTTATAATAGTTAGAAAACTGTATCATATTTCTTTTAAAAATAATCATTTTTCGGATTATATTAAACATCTAAGTATATAGGCCTACTTCTAGTACGAATCTATTTTGAAGAATGATGAAACTGTGATCCAGATTCATCGGACTGCTCAATGTACAATCTTAGCTGAAGAAATAATTCGAGTAAAAAGAGATAACGATAAAGAACTTGGTAAAAAAAAATTATATAGAATGCACTTTATTTATTATCTCATGTTTAATAATTAAAATAAAGAATATGTTTTAGGATCTAACCAGACTGAAAATTACAGTTTCGTTAGTCATTCATTCAATGCATCTGATCCCGAAACAATGGAGAATCTTTATTTGGAAATTGTTATTGCTGCAGATCATTCTGTCATTGAATTTCATCAAAAAGAAAAAACTCGTGATTATATTTTAACTATGATGAATATCGTAAGTTCTAATTTGATATCACAGGAGCTATTTATTCTACTAACTGATCCACTTATTGAATGATAAATTTCTTAGGTTAATCAACTTTTCAAAGATCCATCTTTAAATATCAACTTGAAATTATTCGTTAAAGAAATTATACTGCTGGAAAAGTCAGAGGTAAACATTTATCATATATTAATCTATTGGGGCTATCTAGTTTTACTGATGTCATAATCTGTTTTTTTTTTTTTTTCTGTTTATTTTATTTCAAGGTAAATTTAGTCATAAGTGGAAATTCTCACAAAAGTTTAGATCGAATATGCCAATGGTTTTATCAATCTTTTAACGAAAGTAATATTGATGATTATGATTTGGGTATCTTTTTGACAAAATTCTCTCTAGGAGGACCGTCAGGTACAATATATAAAAATCTCAAAATTCCAAAATATTACCGATAAAGTTTCAAAGTAAACTTAATTAATTAATCTGGATTTTTCATTGAATAACTTTTAACATTTTATAACAGGTTATGCTCCTATTAATGGGCTCTGTAGCAAACGGAGAAGCTGCACTTTAAATAGAGATGAAGGACTCTCGTCAGCTTTAATAATTGCTCACGAAATAGGACATGTGTTAGTGNATAGTAAAGTTATTATTTCTTTTATTAAATATATTGATTTGTCAGCTTTTATATCATATTGAAATATAAAGCTATATAATCCCTATAAAATGTATTTTTAAAATTGTGGTCTACTGAAATTATTAAATAAACTTAAATTCACACATATCAATATTTCAGGGAGTATAACTGTATAATTTAAAATTTCTGTACTATGGTATAGTACTAATAAACATTATAAAACAGTTGAATAATTTTAAAAATCTTTTATAACTTAATCTAATACAATTCAATTACAAATATGTTTTGTAATAATTTATTTCCAAATTTTCAACTGCAATCTCCACATATTAGCCAAACAAATTGAGTAAATAAAATAATCTTGAAAAACAAACTGAAGAAAAAACTTCACAGAAAACAAACTCATGAGAATGATAAAGTTGTTTTTTTTTATTCTATCTACAATTAAATGTATATCTGTATGTTTTCGTAGAAATTAGAACAGATGTGAAAGTTATCAGTACCACACAAAGTACTGTACCTATCATTAGTAACCTTGAAGATATCATTTTATGGTTCATCATCATTCTTCCAAGTTCTTTTTCTCTAAAGAAAACCGTAGAAAAACATGTTTTCGCATTGTATTCTAGGTAAAATATATTTTTAATTACATTTTTGATTTTTGATAAATGATTTTTCAAATTATTTTATATTGTAGTTCTCACCTTTATCGCACTAAATAAAGCTAGCGACATTGAATTGTTGAAAAGCATTATTGATAGTGTAGAATATGTTAAACAATCAAAGGAAGTTTATGCAGCTCCGAAAACGTCGTCTAGTCCTTTCGAAATTTGTTACGGTGATTTAGGATGTTTTTCTAAAAATGGGACTTTTAAACATATGAAATGGCTTCCAGAGTCACCTAAGAAAATTGGAACCAAATTTGCACTTTATACAAGAATAAACCATGATCTTCCGGTATATCTCAATTACGACGATGAAGAAAGCTTAAAAACTCACTTTTTTAAACCAGACAGACCCACTAAATTTATTTGCCACGGCTTTACTCAGAGTGGACAGAGTCAGGTTTTTATCGACATGAAAAATGCTCTTTTAGAAGTAGTAAGTGATATATCCATATTTTTCATCAAAATGTTTATCTTAATCAAAAGATTTTTATTAATTTTAAAATTCCAGGAAGACGTAAATGTTATTATTGTAGACTGGAATCGAGGTGCTGCTTTACCGTTTTATTTATCAGCGGCCGTTAATACTGAAGTAGTAGGACGACAACTTGCTAAATTGATCTATAAACTAAAATACGTTCGCGAATTATCCGGAGAAAACATTCACATCATTGGATATAGTCTAGGATGCCATTTAGCTGGTTTTACTGGAAAAACATTGAGAGACAAAATGGGTATTATTTTGGAAAGAATAACAGGTAAGTAAACAAGAATGCTGTTATTATAGTATGCTTTTTTTTTATTTATGTTACAAGAATAATAGAAAACCGGAAAAGTGTCATTAACCCTTCTGCTAAGACGTATCCAAACTAAATTCACGCTTTACCGTAATTAATTCAATTTTTTTTAATTAAAAAAGTTATTTTATTTAAAAAAGCTATATAAAAAGTTAAAAATGATCAAAAAATGCTTTTTATAGACACTCCCTGAAGCTATGTTTATCTTTAACAAGGTGTGAAATTTCACACCTGCAGTCTACATTGTTTAGAATCTGGTTGACCTTGAGAACAGCTGGTGACAGCTTTCCCGGGTCATTTACATGTATGCCTCAGGAGAAGACCAGTTTAAAGCAGGAGGAAAAATAATATACCATAAATATTCAAATATAACACACAAAATTTCCGATTTTTATGCTATTAAAATATAACCGAAAAAAAGGTAGTCCATATATAAAAAATTCTACTGAATAAAAAACAAAAAAACACCTGCTGATGTCATAGAAAATATCCAATAGCGTTTTAAAAAATTTTACTGATGTCAAATCAGTCCAATAAGAGTTTAGAACGATTTAATTAATTTGATTTAAAAAAACTCTCATAAAAACAATAATGCAATTAATTAGCTAATTAATAAAACGTTATAAAAAATTTTCGCGGAAAAAATAATTCGAAAAATTGGCATAGGTCATAGATAACAATGTATATGTACGGGTCCATTCTTTTTTGAAAAATTACGTAATTAAATAAAATACCTTAAGGACTAGTTTTTATGTAAACTACCCGAGTTATCTCGGGATTATTAGGAAAGATGAGCGTCGTAATTTTGACACAAGGAACTTTCCGGTCAGAGACAACAGTAACTGTGATTGGCGACACTGTTGATGCGACATAAGACAAATTGTCTTATCTCCAGCAGTTCGCGAAGCAAGAGCGGTGTAGTATTCTCCGATTTTTGACAAAATTAAGTGACATCCATAGGCACGTGCAGATACAGTAAGCAGAGAACTACATGAGGTGCACGTAGGTGTACGAGTAAATTTCTAAGATTCCAAAAACAGCCACATTTCTGTAGAAGATTCTTCATTGCATTCAATGCAATCCCAGCCGTATAGAATATTTCATAGAATTGTGGCCGTTTTTGGAACCTTAGAACTCTACGTGCAACTCATATAGTCTTCTCCTTACTATATCTGCACATGCCAATTGGTGTCAATTGGTTTTTGTCAAAAATCGGACAACGTTACACCGCCCTTGCTTCGTGCACCACTGTTGCAGAGGTGCCACAATTTTATCAACAGTGTTGCCTGTCGTATTTACTGTTGCCTCCGGCTCGGATGTGTCGTGTGTCAAAATTACTACGCTATTGCTCATCCTCTTGACTTTTAATGGCACCTTTCAAATTTTTATATTGAACGTGCCTTCTATCAATAATGTAGGTCTAGATCCCGCCAGTCCTCTTTTCGAAGATGCTGATGAATCTGTCCATTTGAGTTATAAAGATGCTTCTTATGTCGATGTCATTCATACAAGCGCAGGTGATAGTATAACTAGCGGTGATTTAGGAATAACCAAGCCAATAGGACATGTAGATTTTTATCCGAATGGTGGGAAACGTCAACCTGGATGCGGTAAGTCGATCGTAAAATTTGTACTGCGTCCTACATTATTATATTAAAAATGTTTGCAATTTAGATAAATTGGTATGCAGTCATCGTCGAGCTGGTCAGTTATTTATACAGTCCATTTTGGACAATTGTAACTTTTTGGCATATCCGTGCGAGGATGGTTATAAAGGATTTCAAGATGGAAAATGCTTCAATTGTAAAAATAACTGCGGAAGAATGGGATATTATAGTAATCCCAGTCAAGCTAGAGGAAGCCTATACTTAGTAACTCGAGGATTCCAGCCATTCTGTGGTTAGTAAGCTTATAATATATAATGCAATTTTAAATTTTGAATAAAAGAAAAACTAAATTGTTATGACTATTTAGGTAAAATGGTTCGTGTGAGTGTAATTAGTTCAATGCACCAAAAAACAACTTATGGTGAAGTTGAAGTTATTTTAGGCGGCCAACATAATATGGAAGATGTGATTGCTCTCACTAAGTAATTTTTGATTGATTACTATTAATTTTTAAATTAAAAAAAAAAATCTTGAATGTAAAGCCGAAAGCGTTAAAAATTTCATGTAATATGTGAAAAATAATTTCAGGTCTAAGGATCATACTATCGATTCTGGTAGCAAGCTGGGTGATTTGATATCAGTTCACGAAGCTGTGTTTCCGTTAAAAACTGTGAAACTTATGTATAAAAAGTATAGAGGATGGTTTTCGGATGGGAGCCATACTTGGTCGATTGATTCGGTTACCTTGAGTGATGTAAATGGCATTATGTAAGTATATAGCAACGTATTTATTAGAAGTTGAACAGTGTAAATAATCATATATCAGTGTTTTACGTAAATGTTCATCAACTATTGAAAAATAACAACAACTTAATCCATAATTTGGAATTTCGTTAATCCACGCTACATATATCTACAATATAATCCATAGCCTATTAGTGAACTTTTACTGTATATCATTTGAAATTTTACTCAATTTACATCTTAATCAAATTCTAAATCTAATGATATATAAAAATAAATAATTAATACTGTTATTAGTATTTCGTAATTAAGTTTTAGATCATCTATAATTATAAGGTGAAATTTATTTGCTTATATTTTTCAATAAGGAGTTGACATCAAAAAAAGTTTATTGAAAAGTGTAAAAATAACGCAATGTAATTTATGGACTATCTCATATGTTGATTCCTAAAATTCCTTATAAATGTAACTAATTGAAAACAAATACAATTCACATTGAAACATAAAAATAATTTAATGCCAACTATTTTATGTACATATCAGATTGTAAGTGTGAAATTTAGACATTTTAATTAATTTTACTTTCCCGGTTGTTATACAATATATAACATAGGGAAAGTATGGTGATCGTTCAAAAAAATGTCCCTGAAGATTTTTACATTTTTGGATTAAGGGGATATTGAAACGTCGAGAAATGCAAAAAAAAAAAAAAAAAAAGGTTTTATTCTGTATGTATGGACGTTAGTGTGTGAGGGGAGGAGCACGATTTTGTTCATTCTCTTTGAAGCTTAATAACTCTTGTGCATTTTGTCGAAAATTTCTGAAATTTTGCATGGAGATTTTTTATTAGAGGGGTTGATGCTATTAAATTTTTGTGGTTAAAGGTCGAAATGGTGAAGGATAGAGGGAGGTTATGTATGTGTCATATATCGAATGAGACGGACGTAATGAAGAGTTCATTCGTTATTAGCATTTTTTTATAATCAAACTCGTCTCTACCACAAAAATAAAGCTTTTTGCCATTTTATAATAATTAACAATATAAAAACTTTTTAAAAATAAAATTTCATAACAGATGACGCAGTACACAATTTTTAACTTTTGCCGGAAAAGCAACTTGTTGCAAGATCTTTTTTTTTCTAGTAAAGGCTGGAAAAAAATATTCTAGAACGTTCGGTGTGGGCATATAAGTAGAATAACTAAAGGGCGTTTCACCACAAATTTCATTAGAAATAGACGCATCAGCGATGTCTGATAATATGAAACTTTCGAAAGAACACATTCACATGCTGTTGCTCTATCACTTCAAAAGTAGCAACAGCGCAACGAAGACTTATGATCTCAACTGCAAAGAGTTTGTTAAAACATTCATGGGCGAATAAAGGTCAACCAGCTGTTGCAAAGCGCCGATAGTTTAGAAGGCAATGATGTTTGTTTGTTTGGCGTCATCGTGATGAAGCTGCTTCCAAACAATATTACTGTCATGAAAGAACTCTACTATGAATAACTGGATCGTTTGAATACCAGGATTAATTAAAGACTTCATCCAAAAAATTGAGAATTTCTAATATAGCCACGACAACGCACCGGCATGTAATTTAGAGCAAAGATAATCTTACAAAAGCTGGTCAGTCTGGACTGAAAGGTTCTGCCTCATCCATCTTTTAGTCAGACTTGGCGCCAACTGACTACCATTTATTTCGCATCCTGCAGAACTGTATTACCAATATACACTTCAATACCCAACAATACCCGACTCTCGAGACGTCCCTCAAAGAAAAATCCGAGTCATTCTATGGATTGAATATTGCAGCAAAGATGGCGAGCAGTGATTAATATTGATGGTGATTACCTACCAGCTGAACTGTAATCGTTGTTAACTGTCAATAAAATTTATCAGAATGTCTAAATTTCACTTTTTCAACCCGATATTCTATTAGCGGCTCAATTGTACTTTGCCCCTGACACTTTTAAATAATTAGTCGTTAATCGAAATAAAAGATAATCATAGGAGAAATTATAACAGAAATAGAGGAGAAGGTGGTATTATGGAACCCCATTTTCATTATAGTGAATTGTAAACAAGGTATCATAACCACACTCACATTTTTTGTGCGAAAAATACTGGTAACTGTTAAACTAAATGTTCCTAATTGGATTTTTCGCTTGTGTAACTAGAAGTATGGTTTTTGAAGGCTTCTGTACAAAAAGTCAGAAAGTAGGCTTAGGGAAAATTGGGTGGTAATATGGAACCCTACTGTATGTTTTCAAAAAAGTTTTAATGTATCCAAAAACAAATAGGAAAGTACAAAGAAAGTTAAATAATTACAAAATCATTTACAGTCGACCCCCCATAACACGGTAGATACGTTCCGTTCTTTATGAATCCATTTGTACGAGTCCTTGCCAATCACAGCACGGCACGTATACACTTTACGGACTACGGTCTGTTTGAAAGGTTTTCTTCATAAAATTAATCGATTCCTAGACTAATTTGACTCAACATTTCCAAAACACGTATATTTTTTGGGGAATAATCTGTATAAACTATGCTATAAACAAAAAATTGTAGGATTACTTATCGAGCGTGCACCGTTCGACGTCGCCATTGCTTAAGCTTGTTTTCATCGCGGAGCAGCGCACCAAACGGCGGGCGTGATTTCTGATAAGTTATTTTTCTGCAAAAACTTCGTTGAACTTTGGAGACATCATTAATATAAATAATTTTTATGGCCGTTGAATAAGAAATGTTTCTTTCACAAGAAATGTATAAAATTAGTGCTGTATTAGACTTACGGTACCTAATTTACATACTGTACAGACGATAATAAACTCAACTTACTAGCCTAAAATCTCCGTAGCGTGTTGCCAGGCGGCAGAAAGCATATATATAATTATAATAAAGTTACAATAAATTAAGTTAATATATAATTATATATACAGTACCTAATTTATATATAATTAATATATAATTATATGTACAGTACCTAATTTATATATAATACTTATAA